AATAGGTCTATAATTTTTGGGTTGAGTAGTATCTTGATCTTCTTTGGGTATCAAAGATATAAACGCTGTCTTCCAAGATGTCTTCCATTAATTAAGGAACATCTTGATGAGATGAGCAAGAGCATTTTTGAAAATAAAAGAAAAATAGCGAATACTTAGATAATCTGGTAGTTGTCAAGTATTGTAATATCTAAATTCCTGTAAAAACTGCGAATAGCATTCCCCCCAATTAAGGAGATGTATCCATATATTACTCATTTCACCCACCAATTAGATCCATAACTTCTCGGGTGAGCAGTCTAACAAGCTGCTCTTCCAACATCTCTTGAGATTCTGGATTGTCATCTACTGCATCTTCATCACTGTTCAAAAATAAAGGAAACAGATTTTAGGATGGCAAATCTGAGAGGCACAACAGATGCTGACTATTATCATATTACCAAGACTAAAATATTAATGAAAGATGGTTCATCTGATCCATATGGTGATGCCCAGCCTGTTCTAAAGGAGATTGCAATAGGATCAAGATCATAGCTTTGCGATATAATATCAGCAACATCTGTGGCATAAAATATTTTGTTATTTTTTAAAAAATTCAACTTGTTAAAATTTAACTGACAGGTAGGTTGCTGTCTAGGAGTAGCCACCAAGTGAAACAATCCTTTCCATTTTTTAAAAATGCTGATCTGTTTTTAAATCAATTCAGAAGGCAGGTTCAAACCTTTAAAAGCTCTAAATAGTTTGGGAATGAGATAATCAAACATCTTCCAAATGAGTCGTTCAGGTAAGTCAATGTGTTGATAATCTTCTGGGGTTCCACAATCAGAGATTAGACAGAACATAATTAGGGGAAAGCTTCTGCATTATGCCACCTTAGTTTTGAGTAATTCGTGCAAGAACGTCTTGTCCAGTGTCAAAAGTCCTCTTGTTTAAGCCTTAGACTTACCATACCAAACTCCGCTGATTGATAACTTGCCATTTCTGAGACAGCCTCTGGCAAAAAAAAAAAAAAAGCAACATGACATAAAGGATTTCAATGATAAGGTATATGCTTGGAGTTTTGTATGATCTACATCAAATCATTTTAAACTCAAGTGACAGATCAAATTGAATTCAGTGACCTGTTCATGCTATGACAGGTTATCAAAGTTACCTAATTCATTCTCCTTTGGCTGTGCTCTATTCTTTACAAGAGTTATAATAAGCACTGAAATCTTTATAAAACATCTCACTCAGCTGCATTTTTTCAGAGTTTTAAGTATTTTGGAGGTTAGTCTTATATACCTATGAATTTCACTGGGTATCTCAATTTACTCTGTTTTATAGGGCATAAAGATGATATCAAATTCCACGTAAAACTTATCCAGAAGTTTAAGGCCCAAGAGAGAAAACCACTTGCTATTACTGATATCTCCAGTACAGAGTCTATTCTTAGTACCTGTTATGAAACAACAGTTCAATACTGTTTTCAATACAATATATTTCTGGGTTGTCAAAAACTCTCAAGTATACTATAAGGAGGTAACAAAGGCTAAAATATTATAAATCAATAAGGAATGCATCCCAAATTAAGTTTGGGATCATCTTAAATCCTCACCAAGATCTG